TGGCACTGAATGAGAGAAGTCCATCAGGTTGATAGATGCTCTAGGTCATAAGTTCATTGAATTAATTATGAATTTCAATGGTTCATCAACCAGTGCTTGACTTCTTTCGATTTTTGGAGAGCGGTTCTGTTCTCTAACGTTGCTCCCTCCAAGGTAGACCCCACGTACTATATCGTTAGGGACACGATGGTGCTACCCGACTCAGCAGATGCAGTGTAGGCAACGGTTACCGGAGATCTAAGGATGGTTAGTATTCTCGGCTTGAAGTGGTCAGCATGTTATAGAACGCATGACAGCCTCCATCTTCTCTTTCAACTATGGCAAATCCGGTTGACATCACAGTTCCGTATTTAGACGACAGTCATGGAGTCATTGATTCTGGCTCCAACCGGGTTGTTTTTTTGTGAGAAGTTCAAACAGGGCTAAGAGCGCAACTTTAGAAGAAACTAACAGTCAAAGTGTTCTCACATCTGTAATGTTCTGGTTGAGGCTACGTTGTAGTTCTTGGCTACGGAGTCTGTGATGTACAGGAGGAAATAATTTCGGCAACAGCCAACTGCTTGTCACTTCCGAATGTCTTCCTCCACTCATACTCAGAGTTGTGATACAACTCCTGTCAGTCGCATTCGAGGTAAACTCACAATTGTTCGTGTGAGCTAACTGAGGTGCTGAACAGGGGGGGGGGGGGAAAGCGCTCATCTTCACTTGCTTAGTTGTGTGCGCATCCAGGAACTCAATGGTTTCTAATGTGGTTGGATCGCAGTCTTCGTACGTTTTAGTAACAGATTTTGTTACGTATGCTAATGTTATGTGTTAGTTCACGTTTATCGCCTACTGATATTACGAGAATCCTTGTGGCTAACTCCTGCAATTGAACAATTTCCATTAGGGCTTGATCGATATGGTATTACCTACGGTAACGTATGGTTTGACTCTCTCACTAGGGTATAGGTGTGCACCCATCATTCTGTTAGTTAATCCATCTAAAGAAATACATTTTCCCACATAAATTTATTTAATGCCGGAAGAACTGCTTTAGTCACACTTGTTGGTTCGGCACAAGTTGAATGGATTTTATCATCCCAGCGCACCGCGATTTCCCAGACTGCGGTAGTTCCGCACAAGGGGCACCTCTTGCGGAAGCATTCTACCTACGACACCTACCTGGATACCGCTTTTGCCAACTACTCAGCATTGTCACGATAGTTGTTTCTCTCATATATAAAGTAGGAAAGATAAAGAGTGCCAGTTCATCGTTTGTTAGCATTTGATTATTCGCGTACCGCTCTGTAGCTGCGACTACAAATCCAGTAGAAGTACGTACTACTCGGCGTGTTAAAACAATGCTCGCCTCATTCCATCTAGTTTGCGGACATCGTAGTTACGTCAGAGCACAAAACTTTCGTTCTGTCGCTTGAGGCATGAAAACAGAAGGTGAGCTGAATCAATTTTCTAATGTGGAAAACAGCGATGTTCAACTTTCTCTCAATACGGAATTCGACTTGATTTGTGCTAGCTGACTTTCCCGGAGAGGCTAGTCGTGCCAGATGCAGCTCACATCTGGTGATCAATCTTGCTTCCAAATGCTTAGCAGGACATCAGTTACCACTGGCATAGTAATTATGTATATTACTCGACTGGGCAAGTTACAGTCCAACTACGTAGTCTGAGCTTTTACTAAAACAGATGTTATGTCAAATTATCGAGAGCAGCTCAAAGTCAGCTTTTCAGGCAGTTTCATTAGCAAGAATGGTAGAAAGAAGGAAATTTTGCCAGTAGAATGTAAGTGCTTACTAAAAAAATTTCACTGGAAGTAATACGGCTATCCGTGGGACCGAATCCTGATGACTTGATACCATACGGGGTAGTCCCTTGAAAGGGTTCATCCACACTTTCACACCCCATTTGGCTTTGTGTCGGTGAGGCATAGCAAGCGAGCTATCACCACATTAGCTCCCCTTCAGGACCGTTGTCATGTATAATGAGTAATAGGTTATTGTTATACTCTTTTAACCCAAACAACCTTTTTCGGCTGCTGAATCTCCCTAGTCTGCACGTTTTACACGCGGAGCCTCTGACAAATTGTCTTGAATACTGGATACTGAATATTGAAAATAGTGCGCTAGTGGACATGCGTATAAGTTGCTCCAACGCATTTAGTTCGAGCGCGTGCGTAGAGTCAAGTTACTGATTCCTGCGCTTCTGCTGCCATGGGCTATTCGGGTGCGATGCGCTCCCTGAATCTGAAATTTGCGAAGTGGGCGTCTAGGAGTTGCTTGAATTTCGACACCGATTTCGTTTTAACCTCGCCCGCAGGCAAACTGTTCCAATATTTCACCGATCGGCGCTCGAAGCATAGTGGGCTAGCTATCCGCTGTAGGTCCGGTACCACTAGCTTGTACTGGTGCCCGCGAGTGCTGTGTGGTGCGCGCACGTGAAGCAGTGGCCTCATCATGGGGAAGACACAGGTGCAGTGTTTTCGATTGGGCAACACCCAATTTCCATCTGCTTTGAGTACGGTCCCAGTGATCGCTGTGACTAAGGTTCACTTCAATGTGAACCATAGTCCATTACATTGAGATTGCGCGTCGCAATCCAATCACACAACGTGTAGTGCAAACTTGACCCTCCAATAAGTTTTCCACATTATTATTTAGACTCACAGTCACAGGTTAGTAGATAGGCTGTTTCAGATATCTGAGTACTTCAGCAGGTAAAACATTCTGTGTATGTTTGTTTTAGTTCGGCTTGCAGTAAACGAATTTCTCTTATTCGTAGTGTCGTACTTTCAGTTCTGAATGTAGTGTATAGTATGGCTAAAACGAGATATTCGCCTATTGGAGCAACCTCAAAGAAGCGCCAAAAAGGCAACGCGTGGATTCTGCGGTCTCAGTTGCGAACTGCGTCTTCATGTACTCGGTGTGTTCTCCTCAGACGGCATCTCCTCGACGGCATCGCGATCACATTCTCATACGCCGGATACTAACTGAAAGCGAACATCCGTGTACATCACTGCTGACCCTAGCCCCGTAAGAACCAATGCCGAGGCAACCACCTGAAACTAATGACGCAACACCCGTTTGAATTGTGGAAAGTATTTTTACACACTTAGAATCTGTTCTCACTGGAATGCATTGTCATGATATATGGTGAACGCACCAGACATCACGACATTCGAAAGGCTATGAGACTTTCAGCTTAATGATAAAAGCTACGCAACAGTTTGCCAAAGCACGAATGCTTAACCACTGATATTCCACATTCTACGTTGGACCATTTTGAGCTTAATTTACTTTTGCATATGGGTCTTGTAAACTTACCCTTTTTATCCCATCATACACCATTGAACTAGTGAACTACTTTGCGGGGCAAATAAGCGTTGTGCATTAAGTCGTAGAGAAACTACAGGCGCAGTTTCAGTCTCCGTGACCACAAATGCTCTTATTTAAACAGTACACATCGATCAAAATAGTTTGGCGTAGGGGATTTAATAAGTAGTACTTAAGTGAATCGATGCTGCTGCTTCCTCAGGTATAAACGATCGAGTTTCCTACAACTTAACTATCCTCGAACACCATACCAAAAGTGGATGTGCGCAGATCTTGAATATTCGCAGCTTGGAATCAGGCAGTACCAGAGATTTGAAGATGGACCTCGTTGTGAGAAAGTTCTCCAACGATTCCATTAGTAGTAGTTGCTGAAACTAGATGTGAGTTGGTCGAGCTGGTACAGTTGGGGAGCAGTTACGAGGAACCCACCGTACGAAAATACTGTTTTAACACCGCCTGCAAGAGTGAACTGACCTGGTGCTAGTTGAACATCGCGTAAACCATAGCTTCATAGTACACTTCGAGGAAGCTGTTATGTGAATCTTGTGAAACATGCACAAGCTGTTCAGCTTGACAGACCTTCAAGTTGTGGTGGTGGCAGCTTAGTACTGTTTGGTATTGCCGATAGAAATTAACTATGTAACGGCGTAAATCTGGGCGAAGCCAGCAGTAAAGACGCCGGAAGACTTTGGGGTGACACAGTCACAACACCACTAAGCGGTGGCCACAATTTCGAATTTCCCCCGAAAGTTAGAAGTCGAACACTTGGAGTCGACTATCCCAGCCTCCGGCGTAGTATTCTCGAACAGCGCTTATGTTGGCTAGGTCAGGTACTGCGCACGCTAGCCAATCGATTTCCTCGCTAAGCATTATCTGCAATTCCTAGGCATGAGTGGAAAATATACTGGGGCGAACAACCGATGTGGAATGGCGCATTAAGAATGTCTCCTTATGTTTGGCATCAGTAGGATTTGTCGGTCTTCCAGGTTAAGGACCAGGTGATGGGGACTAATAGTTAGAAGTCTTGAAGGCTATGGCTGGCAATCGAAAGCAGTGGTTCAATTTTAGACAAAAAATACTCAAATTGGCGCATGTGAAGCAGTAAAAACCCAGTTTCTCGTTGTTTGTTGAACAAATCATTTTAACGTCTTTTACAGCCATGATTTTGGTGGCACATTGGTCTGTTCTTAGAATTTTGAGTAAGTAAGTAAAAATGTGCAGTTTTGAGTCCAATGGATTAAAGCTGGGACTTGAACCAAGGGGGGCTTAGAGGTCCTCCAATTGGAGTGTTATTTCGGGGATAGGCATTCGGTCCTCGACTGTCGCTTCTTTGGGACAGAGGCGGCACACCTTGGTTACCTTAGAAAAGACATCAATGCAGTATACTTCATGGTTATTGCACCACGTCCCTTTACTATCACGCTTGGCCCCTATATACAACCTTGTCAGTTCGAAACAAAGGGGGCACTAACGCGGTTGGTTTAGTTATCTTGACTTCTAATTCCTCTTTCCATAATCTGTTCAAAGAAACACAATGGCTTAAAGCAATCACCTGGGAACATAAGTCTCGCTACCGGAAACATTTAATTTTGCTACTTGCAGATATCATACCTGAGGCGATCGGTTGAGAAAAGCCTGCCGTCAGACCGGTGTGAGATAACCACTCGCTGGATGGAATTTGTTTCATCTTGCTTGCAACCATCTTCGGTTGTACAGTGCCTCAGCATTGGGGCGGAGGATTTTCTTGTGCGTCTTGGCGCGCGCTGGAAAGAACTTCAAGATATTGCTAAAGCCGTCTTTTTGCAAGCGAGCAAGTTGAAGACTCCCCTGGAAAAAGCCAGAGATGTGAGTTCCAACTGAACTACTTTTCCAGCAAACCCATTTATGGATTCAGTACAGAACTCGCCAGTTAGATGTAATTTATGGTGTTAGTTCAAATACCCAGCTTTCACTATTGGATAGCAGCTATCTTTCCAGTTCACAAGATTTCGTCGACCAAGCCTAGAGGCCAAATAAATTGCTCAACATATACTGATCTGTGAGTGGTGAGGGAAGTTTGGTCAAAGACTTTTTGCTTGAATCAGCAACATGAATCTTCGTCACTCCAAATCATCTACAAAATGTGCCTTGTTCACAGACGCAACCACTCCTGGGTTTGTTGACTGACTTGGAGCTGTGTCGCCTTTTGGGAAGCTGGGGTACACTTATAAAAGAGTATAAACCCCTTAGCACGAACGCAGCCTTCACGGAAGAAACCGAGCCTGGCGTTTTCAAGCCTGACATCACTTTGCTCGAGAAGGAATCACTGAAGTATCTACATTCTTGGGTACGGACGTTATTCCCGGATGTGCAACGGCTGCAGTTTACATGGAATGGACGGGCCAGACAATGGGAAGTGAGTTATAATCCTCCGTTAACTTTCTTCGTTCACTCAAGTCTAAACTCGCTGTCACATTTAGGAAGATGTTTACAAATGGCGGGAGGGAATCGCGATCACTTCCATATGTGTAGCTCCCAGCTTCGGGATTATGGGGAATTGATCAGATCACCCGGTTTTTGTTAAAAATCCAGTGATGTGGTATGCGTTTTCACTACTCATATAGGGTGATTAGCTTGCACGCACTATAGGTAATCTTATCAGCCCTGGTTAGGACAGGGAGCGTCTCATGAATCATGTCGAGTGAATGCTGAAATAGTTTTGTTGTAACGTGCTATTAATCATTACATGAACAGCGACACCGTAGACCTCCAACGGCCAAAGAAACCCATGCGGTGTGGAACAAAGAACAATGAACCATGATTTATCACGGAATAAAAGCAAGTGCTTGACACGTCCCGTAGGATGGTTGGGATCAATATGATAAAATCAAAATATATGTGAATCATCTACCGAATGTCTGCCTAGATGAATACTTCGATAAATTACATCAGTGTAAAATTAAAATAAAATAATCAGCGTAAACGTTCAGAAAGACACTGGGGTGCAGTGATCATTGAGGTAAAGAGTGAGAAAAGTAAAATATGGTCGCTCACTTGGGTCCATTTGATACATAAATCCTGTTGAAAAGCATGCTTGGCGTAATCCACAATGGAGGAGTTTAGGTAACAAAATGCTGGGAGCTAAGCGCAAATTCTAATCGTTTTTTGAAAACGTCCAAGGTAGGAGAGGATACAACCGAGTCTGGTAGTGCCTTCCAGGGTTGGCGAACCCGAAGGGAAAAGTCATTCCGTCGACACTCTAGACGGCTATATTGTTCCTTCGACTTTAAGCAGTTACCCCTGAGCTGCGTGTTGTGGCTAAGTTTCAGCAAATGGCGGCATACGTGGTTGGGGTCACTCAGCATCTGATACGCTAATATGAGATCAACGCGTATCCTTCGATAGCGTCCGCTGAAAATTCCCAGCAGCTGCAGCCTTCGGTGGTAAGAGCGATAGCGCAGGCCCTTTACATTCTTTGTTGCTGTTCGTTGAGGTGCCTCTAACGCCTCTAGATCGCGCTTCAACCAAGGTTGCCAAGCTTGGATAGCGCAGTCAACATGTGGGCGCAGGTAGGAATTGTGCATTATTGGGGAGATTGATGGGTCAAATATCCCTCATAGCCTGCCGACGTGCTGGTTGCCTCTTTTTGCAGCTACCTCAGCCTGTTTTGAACACTTGAGGTCGCTCTGTACTAGCACACCTAGGTCACGTTCCTGGGAGCTGGTCTGTAATCCGTTTGTCCCAAGTAAATAGGTGTAGTTATGTCTATGGCGTAACTGTACGACGCGACATTTGTCTATGTTGAATGGTAGGGTGTTTTGAACTGACCAGTTCGACACTGTGTTAAGATCGCACTGGAGCCGTTCGTGGTCGTCCGGTCCTCTGCTCCTTCACCATATCTTGATATCATCAGCGAAGAATAGGAAATCGGAAGTAATTGATCTCGCTAAATCGTTAATGAACACCAAGAATTGACGAAGTCCAAGAACCGAGCCTTGTGGTACTCCACACCACATCAATTTCATCAGACAAGGATTCTCGGACTCTCACCACTAGTCGTCGTTCTAGTGAAAAGTGTTGACCCAACTCAGGATTGGGTCACCAATGTCGTAGTTCCGAAGCGTCTGAAGGAGAATTCGATGGTCTAAGCGATCAAACGCTTTTGGAAAGTCCATGAATATGACATCGACTCCTACTCCATCATCAACAGCTTCAGTCCAGCTATTACGTGCAATTAATAGGTTAGTATTACACGAATACTTTGGACGAACGCCATGTTGCTCTAGGGCTATTAAGTTGTGACTTTCCAGATACTGCATCAAGGCATCTGCGATGATTGATTCCATCATTCTGGATAGTACGGGAAATAGTGTTATTGGACGGTAGTTGGCAGGATCAGTGCGGCTACCTCCTTTTTGGATAGGAGTGATGATCCCTCGCTTCCATACTGGTGGAATACTGTTCTCTTCTAGATATCGCTGATAGCAAACAGCCAGTGGTTCTGCTAGGTCACTAGCAACCGCCTGCAGAGCCTTTGGTCGGATGTTGTCAGCTCCGTGAGAAGTGTGGATACGCAAGGATAACAACTTCTTCAACACAGCTTCCGCAGTGAATGTGTTGGTGTTTAAACCAGATGGTGGAGTATTAGAAATGAAGCGAATTTTTAGGCTGGAAAGTTTGAGAGTACTGAAGCCGTAAGAGATCAACTGCTTCCATTGCTGATGGCGTGCATCCATCAGCCGTGACTAGTGCTGAAACCCCACGCTTCACCTTTCGAAGGCCGTTAACGTGCCTGTTCAGAAGCTTGCGGTTCGTGCAGAAGCGCTTTATTAACTTCTGCTGATGATTGACCTTGTCTTCGCGGAGCAGTTTCACACAGGAGTTGCGATGTGGTACGTAGGTAGTCCAAGTTTTCGGCATTCGAGCAATTCTGGTGATCTCGCCATGCCAAATCCCTCCGGGACATACATTTACGTGTTCTGCTCCTCAGAAATGACTTACGCTTGTTTTTGGGTGGGAAGCACTTCTGTCCTGATGCGTGCGCTACCAGTGTGCTAAACGTCCTTCTAAATGTTTCCCAGGCAACATCTGGGGGGCATTCGTTTAAGAAAGTCCAAGGTGTATCCTTAACCAGCGTAGACAACACATTGTAGTGCGTGACAGTATGCACTTTATCATCCTCCTTTTCAGGGTACTCGGCATAGCATATATAGTCAAAGAGTAGAGTAACATGATCACCACGACCCAGTGGTGTGCTTGTAACTATCCCGTCAACGATGAATTCTTCGTTAGTGAGCACAAGATCCAGTATCGACGGCTTGTTAGCAGTTCGAAATCTAGTGGGAGAGGTTACGTGGTTGTAAAGAGGGTGGTTAGCAATTAGCTCTTGCAAACAGGCTTTAAACTTCTTACCACCGGTTGCCGGCGTTCCTATGTCGTGCACGTTAAAGTCTCCAATGATAAGAATGTGGGCGTAGGACTTATTCAAAGAAAACTGGAAACGTGGTTCAGTTTGGAGTCCATTTCCGAACTTGAGTTTGGTGGGCGATAAACCACGGCTAGTAGACATGTGTTCTTGTTTCGCAACCATACGCGGCACCAAAGCGAATCGGGAGCGAGGATTTCCGGGTGATCGATAACTTCACATCGGAGGTTTGTATTATAGTAAAGAATCACACCGCCACCCCTTCCGGTTCTATCGGCAGTGACATACCGGGTAAATTGATCTCAGAGTCGGTTATCTCAGGGTTTAGCCATGTCTCTGTAATCATGACGAGGTCCCGCGGTTGTGAGGCATGGAGTTCTCTAAGTTCGGCCAACTTACCAAGAAGGTCTTGGGCTTTTGGGTACATGCAAGATAAAGCTTTTGTTGTTAGGATTGCGTTGACGGATATCAACTTTGTGTTAGTTTTTAAGCCGGCCGTTAGATGGCCGGCCATTAATCGTTTGTTGGTTTATGTATTTCAGTTACGTTGCATGGCATTATTGAGCGTTCCTGAACAGACGTTTCACTCGTGCTTTGCTCTGTCCTGTTGTGTGCCATGGACGCTGTTGTGTCGGTCTCTCCGCAGGACTGTGCAGATAAAGAAGTTGCAGCGTTTGCAAGTTCCGTTGAATTGCTTCCGACTTTTGGTCGTTCGCCTGCTGCCTTTAGTCGGATCTCTGTTGGCAACCTAGCTCGGAAGTTTAACCAGTCATCCAAAAGAACTTGCGTCATTCCCTCGGAGTGTACTATTACTTCATTAATTTTGGACCGCAGCCCCTGTAATTAGGTGATGACGGAACTCTTGTCAGAAATTTGGCAATAACATTGTCAACAAAGAGTGCTTCGCGGATGTAGCACCACTGCTCTCTGTCATGTGTTTGCGCATCGTGATCAGAAGGATGCAGAAGCTCGGGAACACCATGAACAAATATTGTTTTTTCCTATCCCTACTAGGAATGCCGCGCTGCTCAACCGCTTCTTTTGGGCGATCCTTCAATGGTAGATCAGGTAATATGCGTACTCCGCTCGATGAGCTGCGAAGACGAACTGCTGAGAGCAGCCTCTGTCTCACCTGTTGAGTTTAGCGTTACTCGAAGAAGTCGAGGTTCAACAGAGTGCACTGAGGTCGGGTAACGCGTTTCGCGTTGCAGCATTGCAGGCTCAACCCGAATACCAATCGCCTCGCAGATGGAATTCCACTGGTTGCGATCGTCTTGCAACTTGCCTTCTATTGTACCAGATTTGGATTCGGGAACATTGGTGCACATGAAATTTAACGCAGTGTGGTTTTGTTTAGCAAGCGTTGGCCTTATAGTTTCTGCCGGCAATTCGGGTTGTTTAGAATACATCACTGGAGTTGTCGGTGAAAGCTGTTTTGCGCCACACGTGCTCGCTACTGAAGCTGGACCTACGTGTGTCACTCCCGGTGTGATTTTCGAGGCAATCGATGCGTACGTTACCTGCTTGTTATCTGCACCGGATTACCTTCGGCTCTGAGCTGTCGGTGTTATGGCTGAATCTCCAAGTGAAGCCTCTATGGTTGGAGAAGTGGAAGCGTGCATGTTTGAGGCTTGTCCACTTATGGGAGTGAGGTGACCCAGTGGATTCAGAGTCATAGACGCTGCAGTGCGGTTGGAGCGTCTAGCTCTTTTCTTCGGCTTAGATTCGGAGCTTACTTTGGCTGGGTGAGGTATTATCGTGGCCATATTTATCTCCGTGGGATCAACCTTAGTATTCACAAAACGCGCGATTATCTCAGTCATCCTATCGTACATTTTCATGAGCAAAGAGAAACAGTTGACAATTGGAATGACTTGACATGTTGGGCAAAACCAAATTGTGTCAGTAACTTGGTTTGTCTGTCTCACTTCTTGGACGGATTTGCCTGCACATTGCGGACAGTACGATCTAATGCAGCTAGAACAGGCAACACTG